TCCAGACACGTCAGGCTGGCCAGTGAAATGCAGATTCCTGAAAACATTCTACAAGAGATGTTTAGACAGATGGTTTGTAAGCCCGTGGAAAAGAACACAGCGATCATTGGAAGACAGCATGAGTTCACAAATAACACATTGTGCTGTACTAATATTTTTTTCTGACAGAATCATTGGATTAATCATCAAAATACTGTGAAAATAATATAGCTTGATTTTAGCAAGAACAGGTGATGTGGGAAGGAAGAATGTGGATTAAATGAGAATATAAACAATGTATCTATTGACCTGATTTCTAATGGAGTGCAAACTCTATCCTGTGCATTGTGTTTAGCCAAGACTAAAGATACAGAAAATATGTCTGAAGATGACACAAAGCTGAGAGAAATAGCCAACATTCCATTTGAACTATGTCAATAATACAGAACCCAACATGAGCTGAGCCCGACAGGAATAAAATTAAGTTATTCATTTGTGTTCTTCACTGGCCAGAGAATAGTTGTATGGAGTAAGCCTGGGATTTTAGTTATGTGCAGGCTTGGTATTAGCCACAGGTATGGTGCAGCTACAGAAAAAACGCACTTCGGTCACATTGAGCTACATTATCGCAGTAACATGCCTGGTGTCCCAGACATGCACCACTGTAAGGCATTGTGCTTAGTGCTTTGTATACAACTCTTTTTAACCCTTACAACCATGCTCCAAGATTGTACAGATGGGGGATGAAGCTCAGAGAGCTGAATGAACAAACAAACTGTGCTAAGTGCACGCAGCAAGTCAACAGCACAGGTAAGATTCAACCCTATGTCTGTGCAACCTCTTGGCCTCTTGAGACCACTACATCACTGTCCAGGGTCCTTGTTCATACCACATCAGCAGAGCTGCACTCAGTTCCCAAGGTCACTCTCATGGTCACATCATGAAACTGCTGAAGGGCTAGAACAAATCAACCTGGAGAACATGAGGGAGATGTGAAGTGTAAATGCATTATCATGACTTACCAGATCTCTCTGGGTCCTGTTCTGCTCACCTCTCAACCTTGTTTCCCTCCATGACCATGCATGTGACCCCTTCTTCCTGAATCCAGTCCTATTGACCTGCTAGCAATTGTCTGAACCATCCCTCTCTCACACCATGAAGCACTGCACTTGTTGTTTTACCCTTCTCGTGGCTCACCACTTTCACCGGGCTAACACTACCTCATCCTACAGCTCTCAGCTCCCTCTGGGAGGCCACCTCTTCAGACCCACACCTGGTCCAAGTCCATCTCTCTGCTGCAGGGGGACTGTTAGCCATAGCTCCTTCAACAGACACTACAATACATTTTCTGCTTGATGACAGAGCCTCTGACACACCAACCTTCATGGGAGACTCAGAAACAAGAAATGCTATTTTAAGGGCCCCTACAAATATGAAATATAATATAAAAAATTAATATGACAAATCTAAAATACCATCACAAATAGATACTTTCATGATGGGAACTGAAGGTTTTGTTTACTTCTAAACATTAGTATACTAGTATCTGTACCTCAGAAGAGAACAAAAACCTTAGCAGTTACTATGAGAGGAAGGTTCCCCTCAAAACAGGTTCTATCTTCTTCTCTAAATTGATCAATGGGAAGCCCTGCCTTTGATATTATTCCATATCTTCTGAAATGAGGTTCCTTAACTCTAACTTCAAAAGACCCAAATCAGCAATGAATTGCAAATTAAGAATTCTGAAATTGCCTGGCTGAAAAAGGGCAGGGAATCTGACAAATCAGTTTGGCAGTAAAGATCACCAATCTGGTTTTGGAATTACTAAAATGACACCATATTGGAGGAGACAGTGAGTTGGTGGAATTGTGTTCCTTATGATCAAATCAATGAAATACCACATTCTCTATCTGCCAGTGGCACCCATCCTGTCAGGACGCAACTTGATAGAGAAAATGTTACCCTGAGGACCACCAACCATGTGGTGATGCTACAGAGTGTCCATCCCCAGAAGGTGTCTTTAATTGGTCTATGTTTTGTGTCTCCAGAAGACCTGGGTCTCCTATAAATTAAACCATGAAAAGGAAGATTAATGTAGCCTAGCATCCAGTCTTATCAGAAAGCGCTCTGTTTAAAATACTGGACTGCAGTACTTTAAAGACTCCTCAGAAAAGCCATACATGGTACAATTCTCTTCTCCCATCCCCATTCACATAATGTTTTAATGGACAATGAACAGCTAGTTTTATAAACAAGCAGAAAGGCGCTGGAGATGTTAGGAGAGGTATAAAGACTGAGAGTTTTATATTCTGCAAGTAGAACTACATGCAAAATCCAATTTAGCCATTAGTCTCACAGTAAGAGTTAGAAATGACCTTTAGAAAGAGTGAAAGGGAGTGGGGAAGGCAGAAATAGTGTGTTTTTGATGCAGTTGTGGATGTCATGGGCTTTCTCCTTGAGCTTTCATTTTTTTCTTTATTACTTTGCCCTGTGGTTAGATCTGACCATCTAGAGGCAGGCATTAGTGTACACACTCCTTCTTTTCTGTTCCTATGTGCTGAAAGTGACCTTCAGGATCATAGAAAACCTTCCTTCAATCCAATGCCACAAAAGTAGCAAATATTTTCCAACATTTACCACGTCCCCTGCATGTAAGGGAGGAAAAAATTTTAATTAATTAAAATAAATAAAAATCTCCCCACATATAAGAAGGCTCAGAACTTTTGCTCAAACACTAACAGCTCCCGACATAACCATTCTCTTTTGAACAGTGTTGTTAGGAAGTTTTGCCTTCTTTCAAGCCAGGATCTTTGTTTTTTGGGGTTATTTTTTTGCGGGGGGTGGGTCGGGTTCATTTTATTAACAGCAATCATCAGCTTTCAACCAGCAGCAGCTATCCATCTGGAGTTGTGAGGGTGGACTTGCCCCCTCCTCAATGTTGTCTTCTTGAAGGGTACACATTGTCTTGTCTTTCCTGTTGACTGTCTGATCCTTAGCTGAGAGGGGAAGAGGACTATAGGACCTAAAGACAGTGCAAGCAGCAGGCCAGCAGGAATGGGAACTCAGCTGTAATTCAGCAAAGGGGAAAGACCATCATTCTATTTTCTTCTTGTACCAGTGAGAGCTTTACCAAGGTACTAGCACCTTCGGCTCCTGCTCAGAGACTCCAAGGGCACCCAAATCTCCAGGTCAGTGCCAGACATGGCCTACAACACCGTAAGGGAAGCTGGGAAGACAACTTGGGAGGTGGTCCAGCCCCAAAGGGGCATCCATGGATTGGATGCCTACATTGATTGGATGGTAGCCCCCAATGCTAGGTGGTCCTAAGCCCTGGAACCTGTGAATGTGGCCCTATTTGAAAACAGGGTCTTTGCGGATGTAATCAGGTTAAGAACCTCAGGATGAAATCATTCTGGATTTAGGATGTGCCCTATATCCAATGACATGTGTCATAAGAAAAAAAAAACAGGAAGATTTGAGGCGCAGACACAGAGGAGGCCACGTAAAGGTGGAGGCAGAGACTGGGGTGACCTGGCCACAAGCCTAGGAAAGCCAAGAGCCAGCAGCTGCTAAGAGAGGCAAGGAAGTATCCTCCCTAGAGCCTTGGTAGGGAACATAGCACTGCAGTACCTTGATTTTGGACTTCTGGTCAAGTCAGCATCTATATTAATGCAACTTAGATCTACTGCTCCTAGTTTTGACCCTGACCCAGTGTCCTGCCTGTGACTTTCAAATATGCAGAGTTTGTTTTTTTCCCCTTCAGCTTTTCTTCCTTTATGGTTTTCAGACCCTTCCACAAATTTATCAGAGTGACACTGCTCATACTCCAATTTGTCTAAGTCCCTTTGAAATGAAAGCCAGGAACTAGATTGTGGGTTATGAGGGACTTTATCATATTACCACCATCCAAATGCCAAGCACATTACCTCTTCTCTCTATGCCATCATCATTACCCATTACCACAAGGACAGACTGCAGCCTTCAATAATCAGTGCTGATAAAATATTGTGGCAGGGAAAATGTATAACAAATCTGTTTGGCAAGTCTGCAACCCTACAACTAGCTTACAAAACTGTAGGTTCAAGTTGCTTTAAAGGGAATTTGAATTCATTCTGTAAGAGCCTACTTAGATAACTCAAAAAGAAGAGCTTCCGGTACTTCATGATCCATAGACCTGGGGGAGCTGATCAGGGGTTTGCATGTGGAATGTAATGATTTCAAATCCAGGTTTAAACTATCTTGCATTACACTGGGCCATCTGTATCAAATCAGCATAAAGCAACCTGGCAAAATCCTTTTCAACTCCATATTCTAAGTGCTCAGTTGTACACTAAAGATGTGATTTGAGCTTTTTGTTTTTTTCCCACATTTTCTATGTTTTTATTTGAAGCAAACAATTGGGTCAGACTAGAGGGACTCAGAGTTATAAAGGTCACAGATAGAGTTTTAGCATTATAAAAATGCCAAATAAGGATGTCCCTTATATAGGAAAGCAAGGAGTATTTCAAGAGAGGATAACTCCGTTTAATATAGTCACTTAATATATTATAAATATGTTATATAAATATATGTTACTATTGATATATCATAAAATGTCTAAAAATGATAACTATAGCTATGCCACTAGTAGATTAAAATGAATTGAGAAACTCTTTGGCAGAACATGGTTCTTTCTTCATATAACTAGAGCTGTATTGGCTTGGATATATGGACAACCATGCTATTCCAGGAAAAGGGGCATCTGTATAGCCTAACACACTGAGCCCTACCCCTACCTCTCAAAGGTGGATAAACCAGATATGGCAGTCATGCTTGGTATCAGTCATCTGGCCATTCTGAAACTGGATTTCCTTCCCACACACACTCCCCTTTCCTGCCATCTCATGTCCAAGTAAAATATCAATCAACTACAAATTACCATATAGTCTTTCACTGGGGAATCTGAGGCCTATGTGGGCCACTAAGGGAAGGCCTCTCATAAGAGGGTTACTTGAAAAAAATAACCTGTTGAGGTTTGGAGTTTTATTATTTCTTTTTAGAAAAAAGAGAAAATTTACAAGATGCAAAAGTCTCACACAATACATTATCATTGATGATTGTTCTCTTTACACAGGCACTGGCTTGGCCAGTGTTGGGAAGAACATGGACAGCATGAATGCATTTGAAACCCATCCATCATGGACACACAGAAATAAACCACAGTGTGAAAGAAGAACTCAATAACAAATGATATCGGACCAGCCTGTTCCAAAAGTAAGCCAAGGCATTACAGGGGCCAACAAAGTCTTCCTGTGGGGGAGGCACAGGTGTATTCCCTGCTGCCATGAGCACAGGGGACACTCCCCTGCACTGGCAGCACCCACTTCTTCTATCAGACCACAGCAACAACAGAAAATGGTAACACTCCTTTGGTGTTTTCTGCAGGGCTCCTCAGGTTACCAATTTCTTATTTCTGTCTTCCTTTTCATGATTCAGTTCCAAATTCTTAAAGCAGTATAGGTGTTTAGCATCTTTCATGAATTTTTCAGAATCCAGTTCTGCCCAATGATAATGCACTAAAGAGAACAAAGAGAAGACAATATCTCAGAAGGATCCCAATATTTGCCTTCAAATACTATTTAAAAATATTGCTAAGCATAATAAAATAGCTGAGGATACCCTTTTTCAAGTTCATACAATTAAAGTAGCATGACAGTGTTTCACTTTACCATGAAAAATCTGCAGTGTTGTCATGTATAAATGCGAATGCCTTTTCACCAAAGAGTTTCCAATTTATTAGAACTTCATTCTTAGAGTTCAAAAAGATAACCAAACCAAATATCTGGGAATTAAACAATACACTTCTAAATGGCCCCTACAGCAAAAAAAAAAAGTCACAAGGCAAACTGGAAAATATTCTAAAGTGAATAAAAATGAAAATACAATATAGCAAAATTGAGATACTCACCTAAGGTAGTGCTTAGAGGGAAATTAATACCATTAAATGTTTATAATAGAAAAGAAGAAAGCTGTCAAGTCAGTAATCTGAATTTCCACCTTAAGGAACTAAAAGAATTAAAGCAAGGTAAACCCAGAACAAACAGAAGTAGGGGGATAATAAAGACAAGAACAAAAGTGAAATTTCAAACAGAAAAACAAGAGAAAATAAAAGGTCTATAAAATTAATAAAACTCTTGCCAGACAAGGAAAAAAAGACAAAAGTTACAAATACCAGGAATCTAAGAGGCAACATTAGTACAGATTTTATAGGTATTTAAAGGGTAAAAAAAAGATATATCACAAGCAACTTTATGCCCACGTGTTAGACAATGGATGAAATGGACTAATTCCTTGAAAACAGGTACAAAGCCTCATCTCCAAACCCTTGTAACAATAAGGGAGGCAGAGGGGTGCCATACTAAAGAAAGCATAGGGACAGGGAATAAACAAACCATTTTTTCTTGGGATAGTTTCAATACTGCCTGGGGTATGGGACATTCTTTGATATAAGATATCCAAGTGTCTTGAGTTTCTCTGTAATCTGAGTCTACAACAAAACCAGCTGGCCTTGACAAGATATGTGAGGCAGCTATTTGCCATCAAGAGTTTAACTAAATCCTAAACTTAACAGAGCAATTTCTATTCCCTTATATCTAAATTCTAATTGAATGGACTTCAGTAAAAGCCAAAAATTCTGATAACAGGGGGCTGCACACAGTAGTGCGATATCTGTGAAAATGCTCCCAGATGCATTCAACACAAGCAACATTCTTAAGAAATTAATTATGAGCAGATGCCTCAATGGAATTAATAGATTTCCGTTCCTAAACCCAGCTTGATACTGAGGTCCATGAGCCCACTAAAGGAAGGGTAATTTCAACTGTCCCTAGTCGTTGTTCTTTGGTTCTGTCTGGACCCAAACAAGGAACTGAAACTTCCCCAAGGCCTACCCTCATGCGTTGAAATACATCTGTCAAGGTCCTGCATGACTTCCTAAGAAGTATCTGAAAGACCATGAGAGGGTAGAGAAGATACAACGTAATTCTTGGAAACCATACTACTTTCATTTTTTAAGTCAAGAGAAGCAACCCATTTTTTCCCTATATTTTAATCAAGATGCAAACCCAAACCTAAGAACTCTAAGACCTATTATTACTTCTCTTGTCACCTGAATACTAGTAACTGAAATCATGAAATTCGTTCTCACAGTGACCTTTGGCAAACTCCATCTTCTTGGTATGAACTAAAACCTTTGTTTTTGAACTCAAAATGAGCTTTGAGATTCTGCTTGAGTACATTATTCTTTTACACTTACTTCAATTAAATATTCTACATGTTTAATGCTTTGATATAATAAATATATGCTTCATATATTTGATGTGCAGGTGGAAGTGATAAGGTTTACTGTAGAAGAATAAATGACCTAGAAAATGTTCATGATATTCTGTTAAGTGATAAATGCAGGTAACATTAAACATACAGTATGTTTCTAACTTTAGATAAAGAACAGAATTAGCTATTTAGAGAAAATGTTATAAAAGCATTATGTTAATAATTATTTCCTTAGTATAATGTGATGGCAGATGACTTCTATTTTCTTCTTTGAGCATTTTGGCATCTTTGAAATGTTCTACAATGAATGAGCATTAGCTTTGCAATAAAAATAGCTTTTAAAAGAAATTTTATATGAGAAAGACAACTTAGGAATTCTACTTTCCTCCTAGAGAATCAGAAAATTGGAAGGAATTCTGAGAGGTTTCAGCCCAGGATTTCTCAAAGTTTTTAGGTAAACCACTCAGGCATAGGGACTTTATAAAGTGTTTAACTGGGGGTTTACAACTAAATGTCTTCAGAACTGTGTTACAAAGCAGCTCAAGTGTCCATCGGTAGATGAGTGGATAAAAAAAAAGCTGTGCTACATTTACACAATGGAATACTACTCAGCTTAAAAAAGAAGGAAATCTTACCTTTTGTGACAGCATGGATGGACCTGGAAAGTATTATGCAAAGTGAAATAAGCCAGTCAGAGAAAGACAAATACCATATAATCTCACTTATATGTGGAACCTAATGAACAAAATAAACTAACAAAATAGAAACATACTCGTAGATAACAGAAACCAGACTGACAGTTGTCAGAGGGGAAGGGGTTTGGGGCAGGGTGAAAAAGGTGAAAGGAGTTAAGGGATTAAACAAAGAAAAATAAAATTCATAGACACAGACAACAGTATGGTGATTACCAGAGGGAAGAGGAGTTAGGGGGAGGTAGAAGAAGGGAATGGGGGGATAAGTGGTGATGGAAGGATATTTGATTTGGTGTGGTTAACACAGTACAATGTACAGATGACGTATTATAGAACTGTACACCTGACACCTATATAATTTTATTAACCAATGTCACCCAAATAGATTCAATAAACAAACAAACAAATAAATAAATAAAGAACTAACTGTGCTACTACTGGGAGCTCTAACAGGCAGACCTAATCATAACATCAACATTAGTATTATAAGTAATTAGCTTCCAACTGCATTCAAGGGCTTTTGTCCAGCAGTTAGCCACTGCCCCATTACAATACACGGATTGGTCAGTAGATGCTTTTTTTAAAAAAGATTTTATTTACTTATTTTTAGACAGAGGTGAAGGGAGGGAGAAAGAGAGGAAAAGAAACATGAATATGTGGTTGCCCCTCATGTGCCCCTGACTGGGGACCTGCCCCGCAACCCGACCGACCATGTGCCCTGACTGGGAATCAAACTGGCGATCCTTTGGTTTGGTTCACAGGCCAGCACTCAATAGTCACACCAGCCAGGGCTCAGTAGGTGCTTTTAATTTCCAACCTCACTTTTAACAAATATTCCCTCTCATTTTCTTAAACATAACTATAGGAAAACCTAGGGGCCAGGTTGCTGGTTATCAACTGGGAGCAGGTGGAGATCATGAGGCTCACATAGCTGGAAGCATAAGCAGGGAGGTAGGTCCCTTTGCCAGATGAGAAATGAGGAGAAGTCATGTTCAAGCTGATAAACACATGATTCTCTAGACTAGTGGCCCATTGATGCTTAAAATTGGGAAACCCAGGAAAAGAGGAAATGTGCCTCCCTCTGAGAGGATGATGTGTTTCCAAATGCTTTTTTTTTTTTTTTTAATGTTCCAGTGAGCCAGGTGAGATATTTGAGAGCCTGTAGGTTGAGGACACCTGACACGCAGCAGTAAGAAGTATCTGATAACTTAGCACCACAACTTCCTAGCCTTATGAAAGAAGTTGCTGGAGTGGTTCTTTTTTACTCCCTGAAAACATCAGTAACATTGGGGAACAGCAGAACCAAGAACCCTCAAGAGTGCTAAAATGCTGTCTCTCAAAGATGCTGACTTTTGCTGACTGATCTGCTTCTGGCTTTAGGCCATTAGAACAACCACAATAGGTAAGTGCTAGAGTTAGGATATACCCAAATCACAGACCTGCTCTCCAAATGACTGTCAAAAGAGTCAAGCCATTAATTATTTCAGGTCATGGCTGGGGATCTAATCTGAATTCATGTACCTAGAAAAGAAAGGCTATTCTATGAAAAACATAAAAGTTACTGGGAAGTCAATGATATCAGTGCAGGATTCACTCAGACCTTCTAACATTGTTAGAGATTCCAGTGAACTCTCCCTGAGTTGTCAAAATAGAGAATCTCTTCCTTTGCTCGAATGCTGATGGTCCCACTTGGTGTTGAGAAAATGGGGACAGTGATTCAATATTCTAATTAATAAAATAAAACTTGGTGTGATATAATAAAGCAAGCAGGAAAAAACCCTGATGTTACCTAATAGTGGAAGAAACAAAATCTGATGGCAATTAGTTCTTTGGCTTAAATTCTACCCCATCTATTTCTTATGTATATTGTACATATTTAACCATGTCAATCTTACAGAACTTACACTGGTTCCAATGATGGTGTAAAAATCTAAACTCAGTCCCTGTACTTAATGCTGTCCAACTGAGCTTTTTGAAAAGATAGATTTGTTCTGCAGACACTGCTAGCCATATGTGGCTTTTGAGTACTTGAAATGTGGCTACTAGGATGGATGAAATCCATTTAAATTTTAATTAATTTACTTTTTAAAAAAATATGTTTTATTTTATTTTTCCCTCAGCAAGGCTTGCACCCACCGAACAGTACATATAATTACAATATTATTGTCTATATTTTCTTTTATTTAAATTTTATTTCAATTTATTTTTTCAAATACATTTGTCTCTGCTTACACCCCACCACTTTCCCTTGCCCCCTCCCTCCTTCCCTTCCTCAGCTCTTCCCCTTTGGTTTTGTCCATGAGTCCTTGCTACATGTTTCTTGACTTTCCCCTTCCCTTCCTTTTCCCCACCCCCCCTCCCTCCTTCCCTCTTGTCTCTGTTGATTTCTTTTCCTTTCAGTGCTGCTGGTCTTATTTTCCTAGGATCTTGGTATTGTTGCTTAGTTTCCACTTATAGGTAAGATCATATGGTATTTGTCTTTCATCCCCTGGATTATTTCGCTTAGCATAATGCTCTCCAGTTCCATCCATGCTGTCCCAAGTTTAGTAGTT